TGGTATGGTATGGTATGGTATGGTATGGTATGGTATGGTATGGTATGGTATGGTATGGTATGGTATGAATAAATGAATGTAAAGAAATCAAGTTCTTGACGTTGCATGGTAGTGTTAAGGTAAGTGACAAAGTCTTAAAATTATATAAATTTGATCAGAATCATTATTAAACTATGTGTAACGACAGCAGTAGTTATCATAAAGTGCTCAGTGTTGCTTTTCAAAGAGTAGTTACAGATTAACAGCAATGATTTTAGTCATTTATTTCACTATACATGCAGTATTCTCTTTGTGTCCTCAATGGTTTTTAAAATCACATTGATTTTTCTTCAGATATTTAAATAGTTGTTTTTTTGTGCTTTCTACATTTAGCTGTAACTGTTTTCTTGCACATTTTTATTAGATCTGATACTTTGCTGTAGGACCCAAACTCTTCTTTCATTGGATCCACACCTTATTGATGTGCCAGCACATGACCCAGACCACAGACAACATTATTATCCTGATACTAAAATAACCCTGTAATATTTGTATCAACCATTTGGTTGAGGTTCTGTTCTCACTTCTGGATCGGTTGCTTTCCACTCGGTGCGCAGCTTCGGGCGTCGGCATAAAAACTACGTGGGGCCACCCTCGACTTGTTGAGCACGCTAGGCAACATAAACATGTCATGATGCTGTTTTTATCACTCAAAAATTATTGTAGACTGTATAAAATGGCACAATCCAGGTCAGTATGATTTACCTAATGTTTAAATGTCAAGGATTTAATGATTCAGAAGAAAAGCAAAGGTAGAAAATATAAAAACTGAGAATTAAATATTCACAAAAACAACATCAGCTTAATGATGTGAATACAGTAGAAAGAGCTGCCATGTTGTTGGCCAGCTGACAGAAGTAAATTATTGCCTCAGATAATTTATGAGCACCGGTTTATTAGACAGATTAAATGTGCTCACAGGTCGTAGAGCTCTGTTTAATAAGTTAGATCTGAAATTCAAAGCTGAGTTATCACAGCAGGGTGGTAATGACCTGATGTAAGCAGGAGGAGAAAGCAAAGTTGGTTAGATCATTTGCCACTCATCATGTCTCAACTTTCTCTTTGTGTGTTTTGTATCACGTTACTATCTTCATCAAAATAAGAGGGAAAATGACAAAAACTATTTTGTAAATACATTTTTGTAAAAAAAAAAAATAATAATAATAAAATGTTACAAATCTTATCACCCTTATCAAACCAGACTCACCTTTGTCAGACTTTAAAACTAAGATGAGCTTATTTAAGATTATTTGAATTAGATCTCATGTTGGGATGTGATGGAGTTGTAACCTTCTTTTTTTTCTTTTGGCTTTTCCCTCTTCAGGGGTCGCCACAGTGAGTCATCTTCCTCCATCTCTTTCTGTCCTCTGCATCCTCTGACCTCACCCCAGCTACCTCCATGTTCTCTCTAGCTGCATCCATATATCTCCTCTTTGGCCTTCTTCTTTGTTGTTTCCTAGCAGATGCATTTCTAACATTCCTCCACATTCTTCCATCTTCAGCTTCCACTATTTGGTCTTCTCTGATTTTACTCTTTTTTTCTTTTTCACAACAACAGTCATTCTACATACAACCATCCGATGCTGTCCGGCCACACTCTCCCCTGCCATAACTTTACAGTCCCCAATCTCCCTCTGGTTTCCTCTTCTACACAGAATGTAGTTGACCTGTACTCCTGCTTCCCCTCTTCTAGGTCACTCTGTGTTCTTCCCTCTTTTGGAAATAAGTGTTGACCATAGCCATTTCCATTCTCTTGGCAAAATCCACCACCATCTGTTCTTCCTGGTTTCTTTCTTTGACACCAAACCTGCCCATCACTTCCTCATCCTCTCTGTTTCCTTCACCAACATGTCCATTCAGGTTTGCTCTGATCACCACTCTCTCCTCCCTGGGAATACTCTCTATCACTTCATCCAGATCCTTCCAAAACTTCTCTTTCTCCTCCACATCACATCCAACCTGTGGAGCATAACCACTCACAACATTTAGCACCAGACCTCCTACTTCTACCTTCAGACACATCACCCTATCTGACACTCTTTTCACCTCAACTACATTCTTTGCCAACTCCTCCTTCAGGACCACCCCTACTCCATTCCTCTTTCTATCCACGATGTTAAAACAGTTTGAAACCTGCTCCAATGCTGAAAGCTTTGCTGTCCTTCCACTTGGTCTCTTGGATACATAAAACACCTACCTTCCTTCTCTGCATCATGTCAGCCAGCTCTCTACCTTTGTCTGTCATTGTCCCTAATTTAGAGTTTCCACATGCATTCCTTTTGATGGAGTTGTAACCATTTTGGTCAAATTAAGAAAATAGCCTGAACATGATCACGTGATGTTGTGAAATGCCACACTCAAAGTATGTGTTCAGGATGATTCTCAGCTACTTTTTATTATTTTGGCGGCTTCCCTTCCTCAGGCACCGCCACAACAAACTAACTTGCATAAAGACTAGGCGATTGTTTTTATGCCTGATGCCCTTCCTGACATTTCCACAAACCACCGAACTACCACAGCTCTCTGTGTGGAGCAGAGAGCTGCCAGGTATCTGGGGGAACAAATGGTGGCAGATAAGAATCTTTCTCAAGGACCCAGAGTGGGAAATTTAGTGTTTTTTTTTTTTCTTTTTTTTTTCATTCAACCTTTATTTATACAGGCTAGTCTCATTGAGTCACGAGGACTCATTACCAGACAGAACATATAACATACAGACAACAATAGCAGTAAATAACAATAACTTACAGTAAAAATGCATTTAAATAAGAGTAGCATATAAAGCAATAAATGGGGGTGCCGTAAAACAGGGTGAAATACTAAAAACAAGAACATATCTGCTTTGATTTTTCAATTGACATTATCAATGTTTAAAACCCCTTAAAGAAATTAAGGTGGACAACTTCAGTTGCTGTTGCAAAGTGTTCCAGGTTGCAGGAGCAGAGTAGGAAAAGGCCTTTTGCCAAGTTCAGTCTGCACTGAGCGAACACTGCAGGTAATTATGGCTTGAGAGCGCATGTTGTAACTGCACTGACGGCGTGACATGTAGGAGGAGATATAAGAAGGTAGCAGGCCAAGGAGAGATTTATAGATGAAAATTAACTAGTGTAAGAGTCTGCGTGACATTAATGATGACCAGCTGACCAATGAGTACAGAGTGCAATGATGGTACAGTAGTTACATCCAGTTATGAATCTTAGTGTGCCATGGTAGACAGCATCCAACATTTGCAATGAGCTGGCAGGAGCATTCATGTAAATAATGTCACCATAGTCAATGACCGGTAGGAACGTAGCCGTTACAAGGCATTTTCTGGCATTCAGAGTTAAGCAAGATCTATTTCTGAAAAAGAAACCCAGTTTAACTTTTAATTTTAAACCCAGTTTCCTTATCAATTTTTTGTATGTGGTAGGGATTGAACGACTACATAATTTTTACACTCGACATTAACATAATAAAACTCGAGTAGAACTCCAGTACTTGATGACATCATAGGATCTAAAGATGCGAAAATAAATAAATAAATAAATAAAACCGCAAAAAAGGTCATTATTTACAAAAACATACCAACAAAACATTAGGAGCGTATATTATGCTCCTACCATTTATCATACTGCAAATAAGTCACAGGAAAAACTAAACTATTAGTTATTATTATTAAGTTGCAAAAGTAAAAAACGTGCGGCACGTCAAAAACGAAACTAAAAACAGTGGGGCGGACGACTACCTCGCACCACCGCCAGCAGTGGTGCGCATTAGGTTTAGTTTTAGAGATTGACATATTTATAGGTTTTTTTTATAGGTTTAGAGATTAATATTTTTTTGCTTTTTGTTTGTGAAACAAGGTCAGAGGAAGCTGGTTCTGGTTCGGTTGATTGAACCCAGTGTTACACCATATTCTGTGTCCTGCAACAGTGCATGCAACACCGCCCCCTATGGTCACAATATACGGTGGTCACAGAATATGGTGTAACACCGGTTCACAAGAGCTCCAAACCGTCAGGAAGTTGATTCGTTTTCTATTACCTTATGGTAGTTGAACCGGAAGATTCATCTTTAGTAAAATATTTCCATACTACAGTATTTTTACCTGTTTGCCAAGACTGGGCCTGCTCTGCTCCATCTGTCTGCTTGGAGGAATCCATTTTGTAACCCTTCCCCGGTGCGGATCACGTGACGCAATGACGTAACGGCGACGTAATGACGTCACCATGAATACTCGACGTGAAATTAAAAAACTCGATAGATGTCCTAGGAATCGATGTGTCGATTACTCAAGTAGTCTGTTAAAGCACTAGTATGTGGTTTAAAAGAAAGATGTGCATCAACCAAAATTCCCAAGTATTTGTATGAATGTACAAACTCGCTAGGAACACCATGCATGGATGAGATAGGAGGAAGAGTCGCTGGCACCGACTTTCTGTTTGGAAACAACATCCCTTTGGCTTTGTCAGCATTTAGCACCAGCTTGAGATGGAATAAGTCTGACTGAATGATGTCATATGCAGACTGTAGAAGCTGGAAAACCTTGGCAACGGTGTTAGCTCGGCAATAAACAACCGTGTCATCGGTATAAAGATGCAAGAATGCGTCAGGAATTTTTTGACCTACATTATTTATATAAATTGTAAAAAGAGTGGGACCTAAATCTGAGCCTTGTGGCACACCATTGGTGACCGTTAGGTAGCTAGATGAAGGCAGGTGTGGGTGCTTCACCTTTCCCTCACACCCACATTTTGATGGTCGGGGGGAGCGGTCAAATCGGTGACCTTCCGATCCCAGGATCACCTTCTCTAGCCTCTGCGCCCCCTATGACTCTCAGCTTCTACTGCACTCAATTTTGGCTCAGTATCTGAAAAAATCACCATCATTGTGCTGGCTAATATTGATTAGTTGTGGCGGCCATCTTGAATTGCGACTGAACAACTGTAATGTTAACCAGTTCCCGATTTACATCCAGAGATTACGTTCTAAAAGTAAAATCCATCCAGTGAGTTGAACTTTATTTTGCTAACAGACATGAGCAACAACATTATCATCCGCCTTTGCCGTTTGGTGCCACGTAATAAATAAGTCGCCATATTTTTTTTCCTTGACATCTTGCGTGAAATCTGATCAGCGTAAAGCTTTAAGTCAGAATAATGTTCATTTTGTCTCTCATCAAATGTTTTGTTTGCTGAAGATGTTTCTCTTCAGGAAAACAAATAATTTACACCTAACAATCTCTAATATTATCAGCCTTTAATTTCTAATGCTGAATGATCGTTTGCCTTTGTAAAAATGTTTTTCTTCAACAACAGTGAGGCAAAAACATCAGATTCTGTGCAGGCTTAAAATATTTTAGGTAAATACAAAGTTTTGTTCTGCATGTTAAGAAGGGTAATGTGCGCTCGGTGGGGCTCTTTCTGCTCCGTTATCAGAGCACTGGCACTAATTTCTAATAGTGTTTATTATTTGCAGAATCATACCAATTATTCCTCCTTGGGTTGTGCTATCTGAACTCCATCTCTGTCATCACCCTCATCAGCTTTGCAGTCTGTAATTGCTTTAAGACGTTGTAATAAAACATATAGAGTGTCGTCCACATCAGATTGAATGGGCTGGATTTAGCATCATGGGTTGGACCAGAACCACATTTAGTATTCTGTAAAGAGCTCAGAGTCAGAGTGACAGAATGATGGCATGATGGCACACACTGCAGCTCCCAGAGCGCTGTGTTCCAGGCAATCATGAACTGTGTGAATGCATGCAAATGTGTCAGCCTGCTTGTATCAGTGTGTGTGTGCATTAATGCATTGTGTTTACACATGTTTATGTTTTCACAGCACTGGGACAGTTTAAACAAGGCTGGATTCAGTCCAAATGTGTTTTTAAATCAACACAGCCTGATTCCCCTCCCTCCATCATCATCTCTGCTACTTTAATCTACACAGACTGGCATAAATTAAACTTCACAGCTTTATGGGCAAATGTATGTTATGTTGTATTTCATCATCTTTCTTGCTTTTTGTATCTCATCTGTGATTCTTGGTTTAAACTGTATCTTTGTTCAGCACACAAACATCCTGTTTACAAGCTGCTGCATTTGTAGGTTTAGCTGTTTGTGAGTTTAACCCGTCTGTACATGTACACACACTTGTCCTCTGTGTGTGTGTGTGTGTTTTTATACAAACCAGTGGGACTCTTTTAGGGACGGTTAAAGGAAAATTTGCTATGTCTGTGCTGCACTCAGCCTGCCAAAAAAAAAAATCTGTTTGTAGACCTGCTTCCACAAAAACAAGGATTTTCACCGTCATAAATGTTTGGTTCGTTTGTTTCTCGATTTCTCCTCAGATTTTATGTTCTCTAAACTGTTCTCTCCACGCCAACTGCATTTTATTCACCTCTGTTTTTCTCGCTGCTGTTTTTAAACCACTGAACAGTTTCACAACTTGTACACTTTCATTTAAAAATCTGTTCCTAAACACAGCCTTGCTTGAGGGGAACTTGCTATAATGTTTTGTTCCTGTTAACTATAGTCGGATAAAATAAACAGTTTGTTTTTTACATGTTGCACAAATATTATCTGTGATCTGAGCTCCTATGAGAGCTGTGCCTACCTGAAGAACATAACAGGGCTCATCTAACTGGAGCTGCTTACTGCTGTGCATCAGTGTAGAGCATGAGGAGTTAGACTTTGGTGATGATTTGCTTGTAGTTTTAATGTCTGCTGCTGGTTTCTATATTTTGAGAAGGTTCACTCATGTTTGTTCTCCCACATTTAAACTATGTTCATTTTTCCTTCCCATCCTTGTTTTTATTGACTGAACCTTTCGTCTTTAAACCCTCTTTTAGCAGCACTTCCTGCTTCTAAATGTACATTTATTGGTGTTTTCTCCCCTTTTACTCGAGACAATAAAGGCGTTTGTTTCCTTTCAGATCCAGAGCAGTGTTTCACTTCCCACAGAGGAGCACAAGCTGAGAGTGAGGAAAATGATGGAGGAGCTTGAGCCGCACACGTCAGCTGACAGCTGCAGTTCGTCCAGCAGCATCTTGTATCCATCACCTAATGTGAAACTGTGCAACGCATGCACATTTACATAATAACACACAGACATTACACCTGACTCGTTGCAAAACAAGCTCTGTAGATAATAAGTGGAAACATCAGCACACTCGTGACGCACATATGATCACTCAAACTCTACATCAGATATCTTCAATGCGTTGTTGTGTATTTTTAGCAGCTTATGTTTGCAACAAAGTTAGTGTTTAAAGAAGTTCTACCCTGTCAAGATGACTGACTTCTCCCAACACACACACACACAGTGGTATTGCTCTTCATTAAGGGTTGTATGTTACAGGCTGCGACTAAATAGTCATATTTTCAGTTGAAGTCTCACTGAATTTTAAGTGTTTGCAGTTTAGCGACCAGCAAGCCATGTGGCCACATTTTGAGCGACCATATTTAAAATAAATAAATAAATAAAGGGCTTGTTTTTCTGTGCTCAACTTACAAACCAGTATTGTTTTTTGTTGCCCACCTTAGACCACTTCCTACCTGCCTCTGTTTACTTTGTACCCACCTTGGCAGCCGTCCCTACGCTTATGATTTAAAGGCAGATTTAAACTTTTTTTAAATGATTATTACTTATCATCGCTGTGGTTTCTGGACCTGGACATTCGGGGCTGTAATCTCAGATCTTTTCTGTCATAATCAGAACTCCTGTGCACATTTCAAAATACAGCTCGAGCACTCTACGAAGCTAAATTAAGATGGTTTGGGATGCCTGCAACAATACTGAGAGAAAATTTCTCAGATTTTTTTTTTTTTTTTTTGAACATGTCCAAAATTCAAGTAACGAGCCCGCGAGCCTCTGCGAAGGAAACTAAGATCCCTCGAATGTTCTGAGTTGTTTTGGAGACAACCGTCCTCCCCAGCAGTCACAGCCCAGTTAACTTTCCTCTGTTCAGATCATGTTTGTTCTGTTATATTTTGCCCTAAATCAAACCTTAATTTACATAATATGTAAATTTAAGGTTTGGTAAAGTTCATATTATGAACTTTCACATTTTTCTTTATTGTTCCTTAATTATTGTCTTCAGACGTGTTGGAGAAATATCCATCTGTTCATCTGACTTCACTTTGAAAATGGGCTGATGCTTCTCTTTCAGAAACTTTTGAGCCATGTGTTAGGCAGTTGTCTTCAGTGCAGATGTTTCTGTTCCTCAGCACGTCTTGTGTCCCAGCATCACAGAGACCTCTGACGATGGCAGCCTGTTTTTGAAGCTGTCACAGGAAAGTGTGTTCGACACCGACTGTAAGGGGAGACGGGCTTTGCTGCCAAAAGCAGCAGCTGTTGCTGGTTTTCCTGAGAGTCAGGGATGTCAGTGAAGAGTCCGCATGTCCTTGGTGGCCCTACTTCTGAGAAGCATCTGTGTGTTCACTTCTGATGTTTGTTTGTTCAATATTCAAGGAGGAAAATAAATTGTTTATTGCATTTTTTTTATTCAGTTATTTTCACATAAGTGTGGCAAACACAGTTAAGTTTTAACCTATTCTGCAGCAGATATGGCAGTTAATCTAAAACGAAAAAGCTGAGCATTCCTTGGAGGAGTGCACATCTCTTGCCTCTCTTAACGTCGAGTTTTAATTAAACAAAAATAATCTTAGTTTAGAAATGACGGAGCCATCTTCAGTGTTGAAACTAACGATATGTAATTATTCACTGTGAATGACTCTCAGCTCCATCATCTGTACATCTAATGTTCACATACTGAGATGTGTTAAAATCTGTTCAGTGGTTTATTGTAGTTTACTTAAGGTTTGACCTCAACTGTAAATGAAAAAGTTTGAATAAAATGTGTCATTTATAGTGCGTACATTTGGGGAACAACTTTCAGCTACTACACCAGAGTTCAGTATCAATCAGCTGTGGCAGCCATCTTTATTTGTCCTGACTCCAAAACGTCATCGGTTGAAGATGCACATTTTTTATTCTGAATTTCATTAAAGATTAAAAAAAAAAACATCCACTGGTTTGTGAGGTATTTTGCTAAGAGTTGACTTCAACAGTTAATGTGTAAATGCGTTGGGGATAACTCTCAGCTTCCACCACATTAAAATTTAGTCCAAAATGTGTATTTTCGTCTTGGCTAAACTTGATTAGCTGTGGTAGCCATCTTGAATTAGGATGACTACAAAAGTAAACAATTACTTCCGGAGAGTTCCATTTAAATCGGTCCGATTTGTGAGATATTTTGCAAACAAAAACATGGATACAGCCGACCTTACGGTTCCGGGTAGTAAATATTGTTACACGTAACTTGTTTCAAAAAGTTCACCTAAAATTGTATTGATAATACTTCAGTTTGACGCGAATTATTGGAATATCAAAATTAGAGGGCAAAAGGAAACGACGAGTCTCCGCTAGTGCGTCTCCCTAAGCGGTCCGTGTGGAAACAAGCTCCGCCGTCCTCCTTCAGCGCGCCTTCCTTCGCTGTCATTCGTCCAAGTCGAGGCAGCCGGTGCGATCGTGGCGCTGGTTGAGTGGAACCTCGAGAGCCGCATGTAAATGAACCGACCTCCCTGCTGCTGTCGCCTGGAGATCGAGAAAGGAAAGAAAACCCCTCCAGTCTTTTTGTTTTGACCATCTTGACCGGGAATATAGAAGGTTTAAAGTGCTCCGTGGAGCTAATCGCTGTTTTCTCGGCGCCGCTGCTCGGTGAGTGAAGCTCCACTCGTGTGGCTGTAATGTCCGGAGATCGATCCTCTCATCTGAAACAGTCCTGTTTGAGTTATGTATACATTTATAGTTTACTGTCTTCCAACAGTTTGATGTTTCTAAACTGATAAACATGCGCTAATGTAGACGCTGCTGTAAATGTAAAATCCCGGGTCAGACAGGGGGCATGCCGTCAATTAAGCAATCTGTAATTAATGGTCCGCGTGACAGTCTTTATCCAGACATCACCATTACGCATGTCCGGGGATTTGCCTTTACATGATTGATGGTACAGAGGGAGATGAAGATGAAGAGCGAGTCCTTGAACCTGAACCAACAGCCTGAGGGAAACCAGGATCCTCTCCAGGATGTGCTCACCTTCATGCTCAGTCCTTCAGGTGGATGTTGGGGACTGGTTACCACTCAGACTGGTCTGTGATTTATGGTGACACAATGGACAAAGCATGAGATGTGTGTTTCCTCCAACAGGCAGCCGAGGCTCCGAGCAGATTCATCCTCTCAGGCTCCTTAGACACAGCAGCTTAACTTCTCCCCCTGACAAAGCTGGAACCTGCTCGTCCCACTCAGAACCAAACTTCAGCCTTTCTACCCCTAGAGCTTGTTAGCAGAGAAGAAAAACCACAGCCGACAGGTTAATGTGTGCTTATAAGACTTAAGTAAGCTTCTCTTCCCTTTAGTCCGCCATAACCACCTTTATTTGACCAGGCAGGTTCATCTGAGCCAGAACTGGTTGCATCATCTGTATCCATCACATCTCCAGCTCCACCAAATCTGAACCCTGAAGGAGGAGAATATGGGAGAATATTTCAGGTTTCAGTTTGGTGTGTATGTGCTGTTTTACATCCTATGTGACAAACTGGGCAGATTCATTCAACCTTTATTTATACAGGTTAATCCCACTGAGCCTCGGGGACTCATTTACAAGAGACACCTGGTAGAGAGATGCACATCAAGGGTGTATTCTCTCTTTAAGCAGCCCAGCATCCGTGTCCAGGGACATTTGATCTGATTTCTGCAGTGTGTTGCGTCAGCCTTACTGTTTACTGTTGAAAGGTGGATGCTGATGTTTTTGCTTGTGCGTGTCTGTTGGCGAAACATTTCTTGAGCATCTGCACAGATTTTATTGAAACATAAGTGAAATTATTACAACAAATTTAACGTTTGGAGCTAATCCAATTGAAGATGGCCGACATGTTGGAAATTACAACAATAGCCCTGTCTTAGATTTGCTGATCTAAACAGTTATTCCCAACACGCACTATAGTTGAAAGATTTTACCAAATTAGTCAGAACTTCTTTCTTTCCAAAAGTAAGGTGATTTTAGTTGAAGCTCTGCCAGGCAGTTTGTTCCTTTAAGGCCTTTGTTTCGCTCTGTATAGAAGTGATTCCTCCATTATTAGATTTTTTTGATGGCTCCAGTGTTGTAAAACTATCATCCTGTGTAATTAGAGTTTCCTGCTTACAGCTAATGGGTGCGTTTGGACTCTAATATCTGTGCTGCCCACGCCACATTAGAAATGATTGATCTGCTGTTAAAGCCCTTCTTACACTACTTATTAAAGTCCCAGCACTTTGCCCTTGCAGAGAAACACTAGCAGCTGCTGGAGGCACAGCGTGTGTTGACTGTGTTAAACTGAGCCGGTGACGGTAACCTTTGTTGTTTTTTTTTGCTTTAGATTTCTGGCAGAGCTTCATGCCTGTTTTGTAAATCCTCACAGGAGAGACGCAGCCTGTCACGATAACAGATTTTTCTGGGCGATTAATTGTCTCAGGAATTATCGCAATAAACGATAATATTGTTTGACAATAATTAGTAATTACTGTCAAATTTAAGAAGAAAGATTGGTTAATTTTTGCGTGTAGTACTTTTTTTCAACCACTGGATGGCAGTATAAGGGTTTGAACCGAAGGATGGATAGTGAGGGAGCGAGCAGCCTGTCTCTTTAAGAAAAAATGGGAGAGAGGTCCCTTGACGTGACATGGGCTGTCTCTCTTCAGTTCTCAAAATGGTGGACGCTCGGTGTGGTTTGAGCTTTTTAGCATAGCACAAAGCTTTTAATAAAAAAAATCAGTAAATAAGTTCTCAGCTTCTTTTTGAAGAGAAAAACAACTTTTACCATGAAGGCACAGGTTTCAATTGTGAATTTTGGAGTTTGAGAAGACAGAGGTTTTTCCCCGAGATCGGCCTGTTAGCTTAGCTCGTAGCTTTGCTTCTCAGCTTAGCTGCTTTTCACGACCCAAAAACCCAATTTTTGGATGGTTAAAATAGATTTCTTTCCTCACTGGCTCTGTAACGAGGCGCACGCGTTTCTTCCCTCTCCCTGTTCTCCTCCTGCTTTTTTACTCTCCGTCTGTGCATCGGAGCAGCTCCTATTTTTACACATCTTCCGAAATGAAAACTACTGTTTTGGATCTGACCAAATGGACTTTCGACGCCAATGACAAAATCTTTTCAACAAAGCGACAGGGTCCTGGAGAACCCTCATCTGCTCCGATGACACGCATGCAGCTGGATATATCTCTGCTGTCAATCGAGGACCCTGAAATTGCACATAATTGGATTTATGATAACAGGCTTCCTGTGTGTGGAATCATCTGGATCCTGGTTTATCAACATACAAAGAAGATGGCTGCAGCTAATTTGGCCTCATCAGACTGCTGCCTATGTGAAGGTTTGGTTCCTGCTTTGAGGACTCAAAATCAGCTGATTTATGAGCTAAACCGTAAGATGGAAGTGATATGAATCGCAGGCCACCTGCAGCTTTGGACTCATCAGCATGAAATTACCTTAAAGAGGCTCGTTAGCACCTTGGTTGGCCCTGTCGCTGTTTAAAGTGCTTTATAAATAAAATGGTATGGTATGGTATGGTAAGCACGAACCAGTAGAATGCACCCTAATCTGGCCATTTTGGATCTTGGAAGTACCAGTAAAAACTCAAAGCCTGACAAGAAAAAATATTCTGCCTGAATAAATCAACAATTGTGGTTTATCTGAATCTGACTCCCCGGTTGGCTTCGAAACAGGCCGACTTATCAATTTCTCCTGGGAAATGTGCTTCATGGACCGCCTCGTCATCAAATGCATATGTAACGTGTTCATAATGTGCTGCTGGCAGAGTTTTTTGAATGTCTTAAATCGTGTCCCGTTAGGACAAGATGTGAAGAGATCTTTTGTTGTAATGCCACTATCCTCTCCTCATGGCTTTGTCCCCTTTTCTATCTAAAAAATGTATTCTGTAAAGGATAAGAAGGCTGCGCTGTATAGCAGCAGCTACGTGCACTCCGCCCATCTTTCAGACGACTGTACGGAAATATTCTCGTTGTATCTCGGTGCAATGATAATAAAGCTTATTCTGATTCTGAAAAGAGAAAGGGAGGTGTCAGTGAAGAGCACCGGAGTTGATCTTTTTGTCATCCAGTGTCTTCAGTAGAAAGAGACACAAAGAAACGATGACGCCGATAAATGAAATTCAGGTTGATAATTTTCATTTATCATGCGATTAATTGATTTATTGTTTATCGCGATAAGTCTACACGGCCTCTCCATCCAGAACGGACTCTTTCGACCAGCTCTTAAGAAGATTCCATGGAACATTTCTCAGAAAGTTTGGAAGCCGTCCAAAAGATAATCTCAAAATGGGCAATTGTCTGTGCTCAGCTGTCCTCGAGAGCACTCGTTTCTGCTGACTCTTCAAGAACTTGCCTTGCAGATTTATTCCATAGAGTTGAGGGATGATGGTGACCCCCCC